AATATTTTTCAAATAATTATTTAATAATGCAATTTCAAATACAGAGCTTATATCAGACCTGTCAAATTACTTGTTTAAATATGATTGTATTTACAGGATTCAACTTTCTATTGGTTTGCTATTACAACAACAACATTCTCATAGCCTACAGACGATGCCATAAAGCCTACAGTCCAATGTAGATAATTGAATAAGGTTAATTACATATTAAATCTGTGTTTACATTTATTTTAGCCACTTTTAATAAAAAGTATACTGATCTGCTCCAAATGTCGAATATAAAATAATTAAATAAATTGATCAAATTAGGCTTATTCTATTGTATGAAATACTCGATTTGTATGCCTACTTAACATAGCTTTACATCTGACTCTAGATCTTTATATAAGTAGGACTTAAAATTTGAGTCCAAATTGTAAATCCTGTGATTAATTAAATAAATAACAACGACAAAATAGTTCCATGGAAGTTACCTCGATTTCCCTCAGGTTTCCCATGAGTCTTTGCGGGAACGCATGCGCACTGGCCTCCCACACATCATGAACAATTCCACCAATCAGCTTCGTCCTCAGAGGAGCATGTGGGGGTGATTTAAGAGCTCTCCCCCAATAAATCTGTCAGAACTTCACAAAGTTGATTTAAATGTGTTTCACATCGTTATGAAAATACTTGTGGATTAATCAAGTGACTGCACGCTGGCGTCAGATCAATTGGAGCAGATTACTCTTCAAGGCTTTTTTAAAGAGACGCGAATTTGGAGCGCGTATACTCAGGATTTGGCGTGCCACCAAGTCAAATGTGCAAAGCTTGTATGAGGCGGACCGCAAAATGTCACTTGTTATTTTAAATGGGCTTTGATTATAGCTTTGCAGGACTTTGATGGGGCCAGGGCAATAAACAGCTTTGGACGCTATTAGACAACATTCCTGCCGGTGATGGACCATAGGCTACGATTTCATATAGCTGCACATATCAGTCGACAGTTGCTCATTGTGTGAATGTAACATTATTGGTCTGTTAACACTGTTGCAACTATCTTAAACGAGGGGTGATGTAGCCAGCGTCAGATACTAGGCACTTTGACTTGTCAGCACTAGGACTTGTATTCACCCTGAAGGACTCTGCTGCAATGTGTTCCACTTGTTTTGTTGAACTAGACCGCTCCTTGTTGTTCCTGTAATGTAATACTACTTTCTGTGTTTGTGTATAGACTAATTCCAAAAGGATTAAGGTGGATTTTCATAGCACAGCAAAACTCAAGTAAAGCATCCAAGACGGAAATAGGCCAGTGCAGTAAAGACAAGGAGGAAATGTTGTTTTAAATCTATTTGGGCTTCAACACCGTACTCTCACAATGTGTTTATGGTGGAGTATACTGTCAGTGTCATGATGGATTTTTTTATATTTGTGTATAGCCTACCCGCGATTCCATTTCAACTAAAGAAAAAAGATGATAAACCTAAATGTAACCGGTAAAATACACCCTAGAACACTACTCAGTTTTGTATCATTATTTATTAACAAAGACTGGTTAAACGCAACAAAATAGAGATCTAAACTAAATATATAAAGCATTTATACAAAACATTTCTCTTTCTCAAATCTACATACCAGAAATCTACAAAATACGAGTTACTTTTTTGTATTATTACTTGATTTAATGTCGAATCCCGAAGAGCGACCTAAAATGATAATCATTGATGTTACCACTGTTCACCAGCAGGGGTCGCAATGATCCAGATCTCTGACTCTCATGAGTTGAGTCCTTCAGCAAAGTGCAGCCTGATGACTGAGGGCCTGAGAGCCTGCTGTGGCCAGACCTGTTTCCTGTTTTTCATTATTTGAATCCAGTGGGGGATTTGAACAGTCTATGATTTGAACTCAGTAAATGTAGGCTACTTATATAATGTACTTGAATATAATAAGTGTTGTACTTGAGTTTTTCCATTTAATGCTGTGTATTTTATGCTTGATAAGATAATACTTTATTGTTCCCATATTGGGATTCTTTTTGGGAAGTATTGCACATAATTAGAAAAATAAAAAAAAAGAAGTGGAAAATTAACAATTATACAATATAAGCAGATCCAGTGGTGGAAGTTAACTCAATAGATTAACTAATGTACTTTGCTAAAATAATTTTACTTGAGTTTTCAGTTTTATGCTATTTTACTGCAATTTACTCCAATTTGGAAGCCAATGTGTAGTTACTTTTTACCCCACTACATTTCTTTCATAACAGTAGTTACTAGTTACTTTGCAGATGTATTTATTTATGCATGAATCAACTAAGACATGATTACGTTCATTATATCTACATCTACCTGGTAGTAAGGACTGTCATTAAAATGAGGCACATCTTACCAACTGCCACATTAAATATAGTGAACCCATGAACTCATCAAAATTATCAAACAATTCTCCAAAATGAGGCATAATGCTGAATTAGTACTTTAGCCTAAATAAATAGGTGCAAATATCTTAAAGCCTACTTTTACTTTTATTTTAAATGCAGTACTACATAACAGAGTATAGATATTGTTATGTATGTATTCATAGCCCACAGCGTAATACACCCTGGTTAGGTATGTATTTGATTTATTTAACCGGTGATTCACTTTGTATCAGTCGCTTTGAAGATTTCAAATGACATGTTGTTTAACATCTAAAAAAGATCCACCTTGGACAAGCTTCAACATCTAAATGATGATTAAAATGAACATTACAAGATAAAACAATACTATATGTAAAGGAAATATCTGAATGTGTGCACAAATGAATGTTCATGTGCTATGTCACTTTTCTAGTAAAGTGTGTATTCAAAAGTAAAGCATATTGATGTTAATTCCACCACTTGTAGTACAGTGTATGCATTTTACGTTTGTCTTCAACAATAAATGTTTTTTAAATGTGCAATCAATGTTTGTTTTTCATTTGAAGTCTGTACTCTGGTTCTGTTTTACTGATTCAACTCAAAGTTGTCAAACCACTCGTAAAAAGTTTGAGAAGGCCTATAGATAACGATATAAATAAACAGGTTTTTTTCCAGAGAGACAGAGACAGTGGATGTAATTTGTGTTTCATAAAATCAACCCTCTTGATATGGTCTTGATAAAGCCAAAAGCCTGAGATCTTGGAAGAAAGATTGTGGCTCCTCTTAAACATGATGCTGTGTTACCTTTATCATTTGTTTTGTGCATGTGGTTTTCGTCTTGCATGACTTTCCATTTCCTCTCAGGATCAGTTTGTTCTCTGTTGCATTGACGTTGACTGTGCTGGATCATACAGGAGCTATCTTATTCAGTTGGGGGGTGCAACTTTAAAAGCTTCAGCTTGTTGTTGTTTTTAGACTAAGGGGAAATGTGCATGAACATTATGGGCAATGACATTGATGATAAATGGACAGCCATGGAAGTATTGAAAACTTTATAGTTGTACTTCTGACTTTAACATTCAAGTGGTTGCTTCAAGGCCAGCCAAGGATAAACGCTTACATCACAACAACATTTCAGCATCTCAAAGAATATGAATCTTAAATTGCTGAAAAACATATTTGTGTGGTAAAAGTGTCCAGTCGTGTGTTCTATTTTAGAACCGTGGTGATATTATTTCCTTAAACTGAAATATTATTAAAGAAAATGTAGCTTAGCTTTAGCTTTGAAAGTACCCCTTTTTAGACTACTTTTGCACCAAGGATCATGAATAAGATAGATAGATAGATAGTTTATTGAAAAATTGGGAAATTCTTGTGTTACAGGCATTACATTATTTAAAAGGTGAAATAAAGTAAACATTTTAAAAAAAATGAACTGCAAATATCATAATCAGAATACCTTTATTCATCCCACAGAGGGTACATTTGCATTGTTACAGCTAAAGTGAAGATAGGGACACAAAATAGAACGCTAGAAGAGGCATGCACATAATATGTGAAATTACAAATTAAACATTACAAAGTTATTTCAATTTACAAGTAACATTCGTAATAAATGTTTACAATTTACATATTGCTGTTACAATATAAACATAATTATCTAGTAGAAAATACACATTATTACAAATAATACACAATGTAAAATGTTCTGGATACATTCAAATGTTGTATAAAAGACCCCAAAACTACAGAGAGAGAACATACATATGAGAGTATACATTACAGATGTCGTAAGGTATCAAGTAAATTGTTTAAGGCAGTTGTTAAGGTGTTTTGTAGACAATGGGATTCCGCCTGGCCTGCCCCTTTGTGAGGAGGGGGTTAGTTACATAGGCTGCAGCAGTTGAACAAGTTCAAAGTGTAATTCAGCCCTTAACCAGTAGTGCTAACATGGGCATGGGACAAATCAGGTCAGTAGAACAAACGTACCGGAACTGCATGTTCCTGAGAAATAACTTTAGATCATTGATCTGTTGGATAAACACATAACGACATATTCTTCCTGAAGTGAAATGAGTTTGGTTCCCTTTATTATTCCAGTAAACACAAATGTGTTGTTGTAAATGGGGGTGAGGGCTGGTGGTAGATAACAACAGTCTCTCGCTCTCATTGGTCAGGTTTCTAACGGACATTCTTATCGTCCACTCACAATCTGTTGTGGTGAGCGCTTGTGACCAATCTGTATGAGCTATGCAAATCTTGAACCGAAGTTTCCCCAGTAGCAGCACACCACGGTGACAGCATTTAGCTTCTCAGATGTTTCATTTTCTGTTTAAATTAGAAACTCCAGGGAGCTATTGAAAGCTAGTTGTCGCGGTTGAATAACAGAAAAGCAACGTTTTTGCTATGTCTGTGCCACGAGGATCCCAATAACCGGATATTAAAGCTGATAGCTAACTGCTAACAGCTAGCAAAGCTATCTAACGATTTCGCCGGTACAGGCGGACCTCTTTGTCTGACAGGGAAGGCGTGCTCTTTTGTTACATTTCTCCCTTTGTCCATTCGGGAAAGAGGAACTGTTGGGTCAGTATTTCGCTATTATCTGCAGATCTAAAGTGTTTAGAAAATGCAAATCGCGAAAAAATACTTATCAGAAGGCCTGATTCAGTTAACGATCTTACTCAGTTTGATTGGAGTTCGTGTGGATATCGACAGCTACTTAGGCGGCTATTATACGCCTCTGATAGAGATTAATTTGGGTCCTAGCTCAGCCTACACTCAAACACCCTTTCATAATTTGAGAGACAATCTTGACGGATACAGTGTGCACCCAAAATGTCCTGAGTTGGACTATTTCTTTGCAAGTCGCCGGCTGCTAGACGAGGTGAGGACCCTTGGCTCACCACGGTTCCCCACACAGTTGAACGCATGGCTGGTGCACCAAGTGTCTGCCACTGACAAGGCTGACTGCGGGCCTTCAACCAGCAACAACACTGACACCAGCTCAGGGGTACACAACCCCGGGGATGAGGCCCGGGATGAGAGTGAACACCTGCCTGAGAGAGGCCAAGAGGTGTGCCAAACATCCCCAGACCTCGGACCAAGGCCTTGTAGCCCTGGAGCCTGCGGGTTTCTAAAAAAGGCAAGTGTGTGTGTAACATAAAGGCAAACAGACTCTGCAATAAATACAAAGACGATAGGCTGCCCAGCTAAAGTACTGAAGTCGCCACAAGTGTTAAAACTTCCTCAATGGTTAACATAACAGCTAACTAGTAGCACTAACCCATGTTATTAAATGATGGGTGTCTCTTTCTAACAAGTAACATATTACTATGCAACAATTCCTGGTCCACAAGGAAACAAGAATAAAAACAATGTTATGGCCACACTTTGTTTGTGCATTCACTTTCTCTTTGTATGGCTCTACCAGTACTGGGTAACAGGTTGCAGATCAGTGATTAAGTTCTTTCCTAGTTAGATAAGGGGACATTTATCATGGTAATTTAGTATCTCAGTTAAAACAATACCTAACTGGTGTTGTTAAAAACGTAACTCATCATTATTACCAGTTAATAAGACAGCCATACAGTTGACCAGCATAACAAGTATTCAGCTTACTGACTGCCCTACCCTTCACTCAGGAAATCAAGCATGTCAGATAACATTAGCCTTACCTCCACAAGACCCTTTTAAGTGTATTATAGTATTGGTGGACCACACAGCTTTAAAACGGTTTGTTTAGAGGTACACTCACTTGTTGTTATTTACAACTTTTGATAATGATTGCCAGTGATAACCAATTTAAAACATGTGTTGATTTGTATTCTGTAATCAGTGACTGCCATTATATATCTAAGACTACTCAAACACAGACCTTTTATATTGGGCTGAGCCAGTAATCCATTGAAACAGCTGCCTGGTGAATGTTATGTCCTTGGGGTAGTTGATGTCGCCAATTGTGTAACTGTATCCCCTTTCTTCAGTCTCAACTGCCAGCTGTGGGCCTTGAGAGGTGGAGAAGTGAGGCTTAGACCCACACCCTGTTTGCTTACACAAAAGCGGTGGTCCATACTTTAGCACTGCCCCCTCTCCAGGGATTGTTGTTCACATGGATAATGTAATGTTGACATACCTTTTTAATAACTTAACTGCTAAGCTAACATTTTGTGGTTTTTAGAAACACATAGCCTCAAAAAAGAAGACTATACCTATCTACATTCACTCGGCTATTTGAAGCTGGAAACAACTCCAGTTGACAAGCTCAGACAAAGCTCAGGCAAATCTGGGATGGTTTAAAATACAGTCTTATATAATTGTGCCTCAAGCATTAACGTCAAAAACAACAATCAGTCTTTCACTTTTTGGAATTGTGGAGAAGTCACCCCCTGTTATCACTTGGGCATTACACATATTGTGTCTGTCAGCTGATGGCATGCATTAAATACTGTACATTGTGTACCAGGCTTTTCTTACAACATCTAAAAGGGTTGGGTTATTTCTGAGAGTAATTACCCTGTATGTTCAAACATTATAAGCCCCTCTTTATTACACAAATACAGCTAACACATTTGACCTTAGGCACAAAAGGTCCTTCCCAGGGTTAACAGGAAGCTGAGTTAGGTTAGGGTTACATGTCATCTGTTGAGCTGGTCCCTCCAGCATAACAGCTGCTTATTAGAACAATTGTCTACCCTGTCGAACCAGATCTGTAAAATATTGGCTAATAATCTGCAATTTCTGGATTGGGGTTACCAAACCAGAAATGTAGCTCGCTCGTCTTCAAGACCTTTGGATATCAGCTGTCTTAATCCCTAATTTATTTTTCTTTGTTTACACCTGCCTTTCCTTACCAGGAGGAGGATGTTAAAGTTAAAGAGGAGGAAGACCCCACCCCTCTCACTCAGCTGGCTCACAGTTCCACACTGGAGCAAGAGGTATGACTTGTCACACATGCCTTCATTCGTCTCTGAAAACTGTTGAAAATGTTGCAATGTTTTAAAAATGTTTGAGTTAACTGAAATGTAGCTATACTGGTTTTCCTTTTAAAATTACACACTACAGGATTTGTTAGTCTGATTCAAACTCTATGTCACGCTTGCATAAGATCTAGAGTCGTGTGCGAGTGTTGAAAATTACATTGTACCTATTTTTAACCGGACAATTCTTGCTCTCACACGACTTCATCTCTCAAATTGCGCAGTTCTGATGACGGCACAATCCTTACTGTCTGTCTCACAGGGCAGTAATCTAGCTAGCTTTGCCAACATATTTAAGAGTATAATTGTACATTTGCAACGGTTTTTTTCACTTTTATTTTATGTTTTAGTCAAGCAGATACTGTGGTATGATTTTTAAGCACAAGTGCTATAATTCCCATTTGAGACTAATGCTGTCATTGTTGTGTTCCATGTTTTTTATTTGTTCCTATTTCAGAGTCTGCTTGAAGGCATCACTGCTCTGTCTGATCCAGCACGCCAGCATCCTCCTACCATTGATATAGAACAGCACTGGAGCAATTTACTCTCTCTTACCGACCTTGATGTAAGTTCGTTTTCTTATGTTTATTAGTCACCAAGAAATGTATTTTATAGGGAATTGACCATGATACATAGCATTTATTTTATGATGATCAGAATCCATAAAACATTTTTGCCAATAAACGTACTGAGAAGTGTGTTACCGGCACCGGCCAGTGTCTCTGTAGTCATCACTCTTTAGCCCTACTCAATGTCCTGTCCTCACCGCTATCGGATTGATTAGACGAGTAATACTCAATAACACTGAACACCACTGTGCCACAGCATGCTAAGACGGAAGGGATCTTCTCTGGTGAGCGAGTGGAGCTCTGTGTCTAGCGTAAGGCAGCATCTTGAGCTAAAGCTATGTAATAAATACAACAATCCGCTCCATGATGAAGTTACAAAATCACAGGGTTTGTAACTTGTTGCCATTAGCATTGATAGTTACTGATGTAACCACTATTAGCAAATAGCTTTTGGCATTTTGGAATACATAAACTAGCCAAGTGGCTAGCTGACCTTTTCGTACTTATAACTCCTCTACTCCTACTCGGTTCAAGTTACTCCAAATATTGGTTTACAGCAGGGGTGTCCAAACTACGGCCCGGGTGCCTAATGCGGCCCACAAATGAAACTTGTGCTTGTCTTGTACTTCTTAAATATAGATGAAAACAGATATTACACATGTGTTAAGAAGCCCACTTTTCAAACATTCAGTCAATTCAAGTTGAACATTTTTTCTATCAAATCTAAGTTGATAAGAAAACATCCCGCTTATCTTCACAACACGCTTGAAATAAACCCTTTCTATTTCCTCTTCTGATAAGCAATCTGAGGCTCCTGTTTTAAGGAATGAACTGCTAACAAAATAAATAAAACTCTGGAGAGCTGTGATGTAGGCGGTTGTTTTTCTTAAAGCATATTCAAGTATTAAGCATAATGTACCTACATTTGATTCATTTTGCTAACTTATGAGGCAATATACCTCACCTCTAGTGAGTGGCCCAGCCCTTTGTATATTTGTCTGTATGTGGCCCTCGGTGGACAGTGACACCCCCTGGTTTACAGTCTCCTTGAATACTAATAATTTGCATTATATTTGGCCCTAAAACATAATGATTGATCCCTAGTTTTTGACAATAATATTGGTTTTCGAACACTGACTCAGTTGCATAATTTACAATATGACCCATCAGTATGTTGCAATGGAGAATCTTAGCGTCCTGTGATCTACTAGTTCTTTGAATATTTCAGCTAAATGATATGCCCCATGTGTAGGACTTGGACTCGCTTGTCACGGAGCGTCTGTCAGACCTCGACTCAGACATCTCCAGTGCCATCAGCCAAGATGTCAGCTTGCATGACGCTATGGTCACCAGTGCTGGAGTGTTTGGCGTGGCATCTGAAAGAGCTGAGTCCAGGCCAGTCACCCAGCAACAGAGAACCCTCTTCCGACTGGAATCCACGGGCTCCACACAAACAGACGCATCACCAGGGATGGCAATGGGCCTGGCTGCGCTCCCCTTTGCTTCAGTATGTAATTTAACTGGCAATGGGAATAGTGCACTGAGTGGCTGTCTGGACGAGGCCGTGTTTGACCAGATCAATCAGCTAGGGCTGGAAGGCCTGGACACCCAGCTGATGGGCTCTCTGGAGGGCATAGACCCTCAGGTCCTCGAGGACTTGGACTCCGACTCAGGTCTCTCTTTGGAGAGCAGCTCTGGAGGCCCTGTCTCCCCAGGTTTGTTTATATTTCTACAAATACTTAGTAGATGAAATGCTTTTTTTGCCTACACATAAGAAATTGTTACTAACCCGGATTTACCTCCTCACTCGTCCAGGCTCCTCCGAGATGTCATCGTCTTCCAGTTCATACTGTGAGGATGAGTGTGGAGCCACAGGCTACAGCAGTGAGGTGGATTCAGTCGCTTCAAAAGGCATCATCGACTACGACACAACATGGTCACCTGTAGATCTGAGTGAGAGTGTTTGGCATGACCACAGCTACTCATCCCCAGCTTTCTTCAACCAGCCACCAGTACCATTTCCTCACAAAGGGATCAAAGAGGAGCCCTTCAGCGATGTTGAGGATGACGAGCCACGGTTCCACGACAGAGAGATGAGTCGCGATGAGATGCGCGCCCGTTCTATGTGCATCCCGTTCTCCGTCCTGCAGATTGTTAACATGCCAGTGGAGGAGTTCCTGGAGGTCCTCGACAGTCACGGCTTCACCACTGATCAGGTGACCCTACTGAGGGATATCCGCAGACGAGGAAAAAACAAGTTGGCAGCGCAAAACTGCAGGAAGCGCAAACTAGATGCCATCACAGGGCTACAGGAGGAGGTGGAGATGTTGCATGCTCAGAGAAACAAGCTACTGAGGGAGAAACAGCTCACAGCCAAGACAATGGGTGCTGTGGGCCAGCAGATAAAGCAGCTGACCAGGGACCTCGTGGCCCGGCTGAGGGACGACTCAGGGCGGCCCCTGAACCCAGAAAGATTCACCCTGCAGTGCGGGGCTAATGGGAGGGTTGTAGTTCAGCCTGTAAGACGGCCGGCTGTCTCCACAACAACAGGCAACAAAACAGACAAGAGGAAGAAGGAGAAAAAGCAATGATGCAATATTGCCACTGAAACTTGAACTTTTAGGTTTTTGGATATTTCTGAACTTACTTTGCCTGACTATGGTTTTGGGATCTCCTCTTTTCAAAAAGTGTGTGTGGATTCACCGCTGTTGGGAGCCTAAATTGGCAAAAGCTGCGAACAGGAAAGAATACTCAGAACATCAATAAATAAAAAAATCTCTGTAAATAAAATTTCTCTTGGGGAAAAATGTAGCTTACACACTGGACATTTTTGCTTATTCAACATGGACACGGCACACGGGGCAGTTTAAGGGATAAGCTGAACTGCTGCCAGTGCCACCAGTCTCTTTGTGCCTGTTAACATTAAAGTCACTGAGTCCTAGCGTTTTTACAAACAGACGTAGACAAGCAGACATCTGAAGTCAACATGGCCAGCAGTGTGTGACACTTACTGGATAGAGATCTCGGAGGAGGATTTGTTTGTTTCCATGTAATCTTGCCTCTCAATGTATTGTTCAGTATAAAAAAAGAGGTTGAAGATTGTATTTATTAAAGTTTCTGAAATGCTTATATGCATCATGAGACTGTCGATGGCAGTATCTTTTTTTTCTTAACGGTAAGGTTATCTCAAAGTGGTAAAATATTGGGACATTGCCTATCTAAAGTTTACAGATTTGTTTCAGATATTTGAGGGCATGTTATGTTCAGTATAAATGTATACTGAAATGTTGTTTTCCTTATGTCTTGATGACATACAATATACCAATGATTAAACTAACATGGCCTTAATTTGCATTGGATAAGTGTTTTGGTTATTGTGTGTGCACACAATCCACAAATGCACATAATCATAACAAAAATGTTTTTAAGTGGCTACCATCCTATTTTTTTTATATTAATGTTGAATAATTTGTTTCAAGCACATATTTTGCATAACAATTTCATTTAAATTACTTAAGCGTTTTGGAAAGATTATATTCTACCTCACGCCTTAGTTGGTTTTAGATTTTGGATTTAAAAAGATATCCCTTTTTTAAGGGAGCCTAAATGAACTCATTACACCTTTTTTATTTGAGTGGGCCTAATAAATGGACCCTAACCATCCCATATCTGGAAAAAAGAAAATTACAATCACCAACTATTTAATGACTGAATGTTGTTTGGATGTTGCTTTTTTATTTGAGATTATCTGAGAGTTGAAGAAAGTATTTAGTGAAGTTGCCATCTTATTCATGGAAAACATCTTTATACAGTCAGCTGAGTGAGTGAGCGTTGACCAGAGAAAAAAAAGTGATAGTGCAACTCATGAAGAATTTTGTTTCTGGTCCCTCACAAATGTGTATTTAATTTTCTGGTTTGACCAAGAGTTTACTTTTGTTTGTATACATTTTAAACTGTTTTTCTTTGTTGATGAGGGCAAATGTGTTTGATTGCATGGTGATTGTTGACTGTTTATAGTATGATTTTGCTTAGGGAATTTGAAATGCTCTTGCTGACCTTGTTTTTTCTGATTAAAAAGAAAAAAAACAGCTTGTCTCATTCTTGTGTCACTGTTTTAGTAGCATAATGCCCTCTAATACACAGCACTGATGAGCTCATTATGCTTTTTGATTATTATGCAGCTTTATGACATTTTTTTAATGGATTTTTTTTTTAAAGATATTCATTGCTATGTGGATGTTAAGAGCATTCCATGGAATATAACAAAAAGTGTATCTCGAGCCGGTTTCTCAAACGTACCTACCCCTAGCCTAGTTATACACAAGGTAGTTAGTTATACACCGACCCAGCGCTATGGCTCTGCACCGACCTTGCCTTTTAAACACGTCCTTGTTTTTGCCATAACCTGCGAAGGGCTAATGGCACCCACCCACCCACGAGGAGCAGACAAAGGTATGTGAATAACGAACCGCGTTTTCCTTATAGGCTCCCGTAGAAAACCTACGATTAGCTTTTGGCGCCTGCTGCTGCTGCACACAATACATAAAGCGAAGGTTGTGACCGCGTGGTACGGAGGCATCATTCAAGCAGTTCTTCTTTGTTTTAAGGGTGCGTATGCAGAAGTATTTCATTTTTCATACACTGCATCACTCCATCATGCAACACGTGGCGTGATTTTTTTTAAACGATTGACACAGGCAAGCTAACGATAGCTTTTCTTTTGCAAGTCGGACGGTGAAGCAGGCAACGCAGCTTGCACAGAAAGTGAGATATAACGTTACTTTACCCCAACATTATTAGCTAGCTTTGCTGTACTGTGTAAACGTGATTACGTTGTTACTTTATGCCAATGTATATCACAGTACTTTGCAATGTTTTGACTTGTTTAGCTAAAAGTACAAGTGTCTATTTCTGGATTTTGTATTTTTCTCGGGCCTTGAGCATTTGTATCTTAGCGTAACCGCAACTTTAATTTACCAATGAAAATGCTGATATAACATCACTCTTTAAGGTTATTTCTTTATACCATGCATCGTTATAAGCATTGCATTGCAGATGCCACATTAAAGCCAATTACATATTCTCCACGACCAAGGCCTGCAATATTATTAGCTACTATTAGCAAGTATGCTAACCTACATAGTGCTATGTTGTGATTGTGCTAGATTTGAATTGTGGTTGAAGTGTTGTTGCAACGGTAACCTGGATTTGCAGACATTTTACTTAATAGTAACACTGGCATCAGTAATTACAAAGAGCTAGTTTATGGCCTTTTCATCTTATTTGGAGAATGTTGGTTCATCTCATGTGAATCATAGCAGTAGCTTGTGAATTGAAACAATCTTAGCAGTTATTACACGCATTCTTTTTTATAGTGAACAACATGGCGAAGAAGCAGAATACCAAGGGTAAGAAGGATGCTCAGGACCCGCAGGAAGAGCCTGAGGAATTCGTGGTGGAGAAAGTACTCGACCAACGCCTTGTAAACGGGAAAGTTGAGTTCTTTCTGAAGTGGAAAGGATTTACAGAGTGAGTTGCCTGGTACCCTCCCCCAGCTGAGCTGGGAGTACTTCCCTAGTATGGGGTCGTGCTATGCTTTTGTCTTTAGTCATCTTGGTGCATGAATAATCTGTTGTTCTGTATTGAAAGTTAGTTAACTATGTTAGCATCTGTGCATAAATCCCTGGAGGTGGAGAGCAAAAGGTGACCCTCTCCCCGCTTATTCAGGGCCGACAATACCTGGGAGCCAGAGGAGAACCTCGATTGTCCAGAGCTGATTTCAGCATTCCTGGAAGCACAGAAGAATGTCAAAGAGAAGCCTGCTCCCGTCAAGCGGAAGTTGTCAACAGAAGAGCCAGAGTCAGAAGCCAAAAAGAAAGATATGGTGAGTTCACTGACAGTTTCATGTGCCTAAAAAAAATAAATAATAATAATGCATTTTATTTATATAGCGCATTTCCTGTTGCTCAAACCGCTTATCTACCTACATATCAAACCAACATGACACCAACATGACACCAATTGTTTTTAAGATTCTTTTTCAGAATCTGATAAATCTTATAAAGATATGACATGTAAACATTATCTTGGTGTTTAGAGCAATCCAAAATTAATAATGCAATTGTTATCAATGCTTATAGCCTGAGAAACCACGTGGATTTGCCAGAAACCTCGACCCAGAACGGATCATTGGCGCAACAGACAGTAGCGGGGAGTTGATGTTCTTGATGAAATGGTGAGTATTGAGGGAGAAGTCCTATTTATCTTTATCCTCAGGGCGGAGTGAGCTTATTCAGTAGGGACTCACTCTTCTTGGGAACCGGGGGGGTTCACTTTGAGTTGCCAGTTGTAATATATATATATATATATATATATATATATATATATATATATATATATATATTATATCACCCAGGAAACAGTGCTGGCATATTGTGATTTATTCAAGTGAACCTTGGAAATGCCAATTTTCTGAATGTCGAACATTATCCATGATCTGATTTGGCAATTTATACTTTAAGACCTCAAAGTGCAAACATTTGGAGCAGATTTAGATTACAAGGAGAACAAAGGGCAAGGGGGGGCCCCCAAACACCTTAACACACGCACACCAAAACATTCATTCAGATACATTTCAACCCTACGTTTCCATGATGTGCACACTGTAATCCTTTTATGCACATTATACAATTATTACAACCATCAATAAACCCATTATTTTGTGTGATAATACTACTGATTACAAAAATACATTCAGCCCAGTAGTGCTGCTGTAGCAGAAGAAGGCTCCAGGTAGATAACAATGAGCTTAAGGGTAAAATGTTTTGTTGTAAACAAGAAACAGCATTTACTGTAATATTTTTCTTTCCTTTCTCCTTAGGAAAGACTCAGATGAAGCCGATCTGGTCCCGGCCCGTGAGGCCAACACTCGCTGCCCTCAGGTGGTCATTTCCTTTTACGAGGAGAGGCTGACATGGCACTCCTGTCCAGAGGATGAGGCTCAGTAGTGCTGTCGTCTAGTCCCTTTGCACCACTCGCACCCTTTTCCTCAGGACTGAATGTTCTCCTCTGGCTTGCCTTTTAGTTTTAGCTATGTTAGTTTTTTTTCGAAGATATTTCAGCCCTCGCATTGTATGGCTGTTGAGGAGAAATATGTTGTTGTAAATAATAGCTGAACTGTTTGAAAGAGCTCAGGGTTTGGTGGCATAAGGACAAAAGTCTTCCGGTATATCATATGATAAATTAATGCGATGGCCGTTTGGAAACTATATTCTTTGATTGAACCCACCACTGCCCATATTCATACCTGATGACAGTTTGTAAATTCTAAATTGTTACTTTGGTCTGTTAAGGTTTCAACCACCTGCTCTATAACATCACAAAATATCGTAGAATCTGGTCTTTCTTGGTCTTAATGTTTTGTTCTACAGTGCATTTTGTATACTGTCTCTAAATATTATTTTGAAGTTCAAATAAAGTTGGATGTGAACAAAATGTCACCGCTTATTTTTTCATGGTTTCAAAAATAAATATGTTGCCATGAGTTGGCCAAATACAATACATAAGTTTACCTATAAATGTTCATTTAACTTCTGCAACTTTTTTCCAAATGCTTTGATCAAGTAGATTTTTTGGAAACCTGCAAATGTAGAGAAATAATAACATTTACTTGTATCGTTTGAAACCGTAAGATTTGATTTGTTTTCATTGTGTATCCACATTTAAATCCTTGCCTTGATGCCACTTAATGCAATGAAACTACAGCAATGAGAAAATGTTTACACAGTTATAACTTATTCAGCTGACCACAAAGAATGTATGACCCCGTGTGTGATTTACAGGTCACATGTTTATCACTGTGGAGACAACTCAAGGGTCCAAGACAAAGTATGCAACATTACATGTTACTTGTTAGATGCTTTTATCCAAAGCGACTTACATACTCAATACTGTGGACAGTCCTCACAGGAGCAATTTGGAGTGAAGTGTCTTGCCCAGGGACACAACGACATGGGGTTTGGACCTGTGCTCCACTGATCCGAACACCAACGCTCTATCCACTTCGGCACATGCCTCCTGTATGTACTGTACAAGTAGTCAGTTGTCAATGGACATGTCCTCATGTAACCCCTTCACTGAGTCTGCATCTGCATACGTATGCTCCTACAGTATTCAGCACAGGTTTGAGGCCACAGCACTTAAGCATTTTGATTTGAGAGGTTGCATACTCAATAACCAGTTCACTCTTTTCTTTTCACTTGTAAGATTTTAAAAGCATATTTTGTGGCATATCTTTCCATTGCGGCATTGCTACTTTAACCTGAGGAAATCTTTTCACCAGAGGTGGGAACTCTGGTACTTAAGTAGATTTTTCTGGTATCAGTACTTTACTCCACTACTTGTTTTTCTGACTACTTTTTACTTTTACTTCTTACATTTTTAAAACAAATACCTGTACTTTCTACTTCTTACATTTTCAAAACAGGTTGCGACCGGGGAGCAATGGGAGTTAGGGGGGAAGGGAGTTGTCCGGTGCCTTGCTCAAGGGTACCACGGCAGGGCAGGAGGTGAACTGGGACCTCTCCAAGTAGCAGTCCACACTCCATTTTTAGGTCTGGTCGGGGACTTGAACCGGCGACCCTACGGCTTATAGTCCAATCCCCTACTGACTGAGCCACTGCCGGACATCATTTCCTGGTCTTCTCTAAACAAGAGGGACCAATGAAAACTTTGTCATTTTGCCGTTGTTCAGCATCGAAACATTCATTAACTAACAATGACATTATTGTTCTATTAATATAAAGTGAGGTCAGTAAATTACTCTTTAAAACAGATGATGGGTACTTTTTACTTAAGTACATTGCTAAACCCATACTTCTTTACTTTTACTTGAATAAAGAAGTGTAGTCAGTACTTCTACTTTTACCAGAGTATTTTCAAACACGAGTATCTGTACTTCTACTTGAGTAAAGGATGTGTGTACTTTAGCCATATCTGCATTTCATATGCACACTTTTCAGCTCTAACATTTAAGAAACATCTGACTTCAGCTATGATTGGTATCTCTCGGTCCAGACGGCATGTCTGC